TAATACTACCACCCTGTATTATATTTGAAGAAATTAAATAATGAAGAATCTGCATAAATGTATGCATGTTCCTCGAGTTGTGTTAAAACAGCGGTACCTAGAGCCATCCAGTTTTTGATGACGTAATCCTACTGCGAATATGGACATCTGAAAGCCCAAATTTGAAATTTGGAATTTGTTTTATTATCAATTTCATATTTTGTAAAACTTTAACGAATCTTTGATTAACAATTTCAACGAAAATGAAAGCGAGCAATGACAATACTCTACGGTGGGAAAAAAGCCTTTTTATCTCCAGCACGCGGAACTGTGTATCGGAAATTCTAAAGATATGCTCATTTTAAAATTATTTTGTGACATTGCTGTTGAACTGAATTTTATGGCTTAGGTGCAAAGAACATGATATTTAATAAATAAAGGTAGCACGCAAAACGTTAAAAAAACGACCCTTTGGATGTAATTTAAAATCTGAAATCTTTCAGATTTATTTTATTTTTATTTATTTATTTACTCATTTATGTTTTGCGTTTTATTACAGCAGAGAGATTTTAGGGTCATCATTCTGCGGAGTATGTTAATGCTAACCAAAAGATGTCATACCTGTTTTTACATCCATTACTTTAATTAGATTAGAATATATATTAGTTTAGCACATATGTTGAATGATCTAAAATTCAGTTCGAAAACAAGTTTCTCTAATACTTGCGCAATGTGTTCGATGCTTCAGCTAAGGGCTACGCGAGATGAACTATCAGAGATCAGAGTCTAATTCTCCTTCCTACTAGAGAAGGAGAAAGTTGGTTGCCCTATTTTTTGGATCTAGCTGCTACTTAAGGATCCTCCGCAATATTCTGCCCCCTAAGTTCGAGGGTACGAAACAATGTCGCACATAATATGGTGTGGACGCGCACACGTCTTCCTGAGCATGTGAAAGTAGTGGAGTGCTGGGAGAAAGAGGAAGGTCAACTGAAGCAGGATGATCATTGGTCAGACGGATGTAAGGATTTGAAGCCTTGGAGAATGCAGACTTCAGCTCATTGATTCCTAGGATAGTTTTCTAGTCACCTACGAAAACAGTGAAATATTTGTTGCTGTGTGCACAGACTGGGACCGTGGTATGGAAGAGTAAGAGGAGGTTTTTACCGCGTCGTTATGCACAAAAGCACTAGTGCAAGTACTCAGTGTAGAATGTAAGAACGAGTTTGATGTGTTATGGCATCATTTAGAAGTCAGAGACAGCGTTTTCAGCACGTTTCGGAAAGTCCAGAGCGGTGATGACGCGAACCTATGTTTCGCGTGCCACAGTCGGCATCCTCAGCTGCAAAAGCGCGAAATTTATTTTTGCGCTTTTGCAGCTGAGGAAGCTGGTTCGGTAAAACCATCGAAACTAGTCCTGCTGTGAAAATTTGAAAATATAACGCTGATTTTTGTTGTTTGACTTCTGAATTAGCTATTAATTAATTTTATAATAATTAATTATTTAATTTAAAATTATTAATGAGTTTAATAGTTATTTTATTTATTTATTTAATCTTGTTCCTCTTTGCTGACGGTCTTCCATATGACCGAACTACCATGGTTCAGCGACTTTACCGCTCGGCCGCTGGTGGGCCCCAGATGAATTCGGAAACGGTCAAAATAGATACTTCCGTTGAAATATTATAGCCGAATTTTTTTCTCGATTACGATACTTTCTTTGCTTCGTACAAAGAAATAAAAAAGGAACTTTAAATTTCATCCCAAATCTTTGATTTCAAACAACTGTAGAGACATTGGGTTAATTGGAAAAACTAGAAAAATGAGAAATTAGCAACTGCCTTCGCCGGGAATCGAACCATGGACCTGTGGAATACCGGCCCAGCTTGCAGAACCACTACACCACGAAGGCATGCTAGGAGAAAGTGGGAAAAATACCTTATATAGAACTCCCTTTTTTAAAGAGCGACTGGGGTTTTTTAGAGGACTCACTCGCCAAATACTGGGTGTGGAGAATTCTCATCCAACACCCTTTTAGTTCAGGCGCCACTGTAGAGACATTAGGTATATTTTTGGAAGCAGGCAAGATGAAAAATTAGCAATCGCCTACCACGGACCTCTGGAATACCGGCCCAGCGTGCAGAACCACTACACCACGAAGGTACGCTAAGAAGGCGGGAGAAATACCTTATACAACTACTACTTAAACAATCAATTAACTCATTTTATGTTGCAGAATTCAAATATTTAACAGCGCTTGAGAGCATTTTTATAACGTCATTCATCACAATGTCATATGATGTCAATAATTTGATATCAGATAAAAAATTCGCTGTATACACTGGTGAAATAAATTAAGAGAATTTTCATATTTGATCTACGATCTCCAGAACTACTGGAAAAATTTTAATAAAATTTAACATAAGTTGATATAATACAAACAAAATATTCAACAGTTATAATAGACACACATGTTCGTGTGTAACACTCATGGGAGTCTGAAGGTCTGAAGCAGTGGTTGACGGCATTCACATTTCATGTCACCGTTCTTGGAGAGGTGGTAAAAACATCTGCCATCAACAAAGGCCCCCAAACCCAGACAGCAGAACGAAGTCAGTTATCAAACACTGTCAGACAGACAGGGCCACCAATCCGGCCTGCTAAAACGAAGTCATGGTATACAGATATTGGCTTTAGGCGCCCACTGGAAACTTCAAGCAGTTTAAAGGCTCGCCGAAATTCGCCAACACCACCGACAGGGTGTTTCGCCCTGGACAATCTTGAATATCTGACTATATAACTCAACCACAACCAAGGGAATGGATTAGAACGCCATATAGTTCCTACCAAGCTTAAAACAGCCGTCGCTAGCGATGACTCCAGTCCCGTGGAGACTGATTTTAAACACCCATGGCTGAGACTGCCTAGGTACAGATCCTAATCAGTAGCTTCCCAGGTTTTATCTGAGTCGACCCCCGGAGGGGAGTTCAAATAAGACAAGAATTTTCGTGTTCATCCAGGCAGCGAGATGAACTGCTTGTTTTGATGATTGACAGACCGCCTTTTTGGCTCGGCGCCGTCGTGCGCCGCACAACCTTGCACCTATTGTCGGCCATATACGAAGCTAACTGCATACTACTGTAAACTATGAAAAATGAATTTAAATACCAGTTAACGCTGTGGTATTCTCTGTTCAAATATATAAATGGAATATCAGAATTGTTATGGACATCGTCATTGATAATGATAGTCTGCGTGCGAAAGACTCTCACAAGTACTTGGGGTACTTACAATCATTGACTGTCGACTAAATTTCATTTGAAACAAAGGAACTAGAGATTACATATCTATTTATTATCCCATGGGAAGAAAGTACAAGCTACATACCAGAATCAAGCGAACTCTGAACCTTACGCTAATTCGCAATGTTTTTATTTGAAGTTGCTCTTTAGACAACTAGCTAACGCTCCCTGATACGTGGGAAATTCTCAGATACACTCCGAACTAAAGGTAAAATCATATTCTGAATACAACGAACAACTTTTTCAGGAAAATGAAGAAGACTGAAAATGGTCAAAAGACTGAACACTATTCGCCATAATACGTAATAGTAATTTTCTATATATTTTGAATTACATCCTCATATACCGCACCATCACAATTCACTTCAGCACGAACAGAGGGCGGCACCATGAATATCATGATCTCACTCTGTGCATCATTTTACGTGACCTTTGTTATTCTTCCGACATTTCTCTTTTCGTGTACTCGGATGATTGTGTGACTGCACATAATTTTTTTAAATACCGTGAAAGGCTCTAGCGCACCGTTACGATGGACTGGTAAATACATCCTAATAGAGAAGCTAGTTGAAGAAAGAAGTTCCAAATTTCAGGCCTTGTAAGAGTTTTTGTTATAAAGCTATGGTATACAGATGTTGGCTTTAGTGTTAACATTTGTGGTACGTACTGAGGTTCTTTTTTCTTAGGTTTAAAAAGAAAAAACAAAACAAAAAACTTTATAATTATTTTCACCACTCTCATCGTGGAAATTTTCATGATTTCAATATGTTTTTATACTATATAAAGCACAGAACAGAATTATTTAATTTCCATCCGAAAGAATGAATCCATAAACGGTTGGCACAGTGGCGTAGCAAGGGGGGAACGCCGCTCGCAGAGGGGCGCCAAATAGTCTCCAAACAAGATTTTCATCATGTCACTGTTTTGGGAGGGGCGCCAAAAGGTATTTTGCCCCGGGCGCCAATTATGCTCGCTACTCCACTGGGTTCGCAGAAACAACTAAATAGCAAACATTGATTGTTTTACTCCAGGATCAACTATCATCAAATAAACACTGGGTTATATGTGCATTTTGTAATATTTTTCACATTCAAGAATAAGATGAGCCAATTTTTCTCTCGAATATCCTCCGTGGAGACATCTCTTTCAAAGAAGATTTTCCTCGAATACAACAACACAACAGGAAGTTAATATTTTTCCGAATACTGTATCTTAACATTGATTTGGATATTCGGGTATCTTTCTCATTATATTACTATAAACGGAGTTAATTTGTAATATACTCTACTTTAACATGATCTCAGGGCATTTTCACTAGGTTTTCTTCAAATATCCAATCTGTTCCTCTATCGTTCAAATATAAATCAAAATATCTCCAGACCTTTTCTTAACCTTTGCCAAACTCTAACATTGTAATTTCAACTGAAAATTGACATCACACAAGGAAAAAAGATTATTCTGTTTTCTTGTCAGCATAGATTAGCGTCTTGTAATTTTCAGAATGTTGACCCTAAATTACAAAAATTTAAACTGCCGATTGATATAAACAGGCTTCTTTTAAAATATTACAGCATAATTTTTTAAAAATTTTATATATATATTCGCACACTGCCATGTTTGCGTACAATACACGTATACATATTAATATTACATTATACGTCATCTCCACTAACTGTACTACAGAAGAAGGCTATAGGTTGAAATCTATTATAAGACGTGACGTCAGTTCTGCTCCAAAATTCTATGCTATAGACTGTGTAGTATATATTAAAAGGAGTAACAAAATTTGACTGAGCTGTTTGTTATTGAACGGCATAACATCTAATATTCGATGGTAATTTCTGAGAGCACTCCAAAAACTATTATTTCCTTCCGTAGGGTGGGGCATAAATATCCTTCCGCAACAGCGGTACGGTTGCACCGCAGTGTTCTGTGATTTGGTGTTGGTGTTGAGAGAGTGACTCTCGCTGAAGTTAATTTCTGTTTAGAGTTGCAGGTGAGACAATTGTTTTTTTTTTTCAATGTCTTTTTGTTCTGTTATGTAATATTAAGTTACTGATTCCAAAAGTTTGTCATTTCTGCTGTTTTTCGTGTTAAGCCTAGAAATCAAACTTTCCTCTTCTCACAAAATTTAATGGGTGGGGTCAACACCGGGTTTTAACTCTTAACATCCGGCGAAATCTATATATAAATCTTTAAATGTGCAGTTGTTAAGCTTATGCTATCCATTTCCTTTATTTGAATTGATAATTAATTTAGCTTGTGTTAAAATCCTTAACAAATTCATTGCCAGCGTTATCAGTTTGCCTAGTGATGTTGAATTTTATGTGTGAAATTAATAACTTGAAACAAGAGTTTCTCATCTGTTTGTAATTTTTTACAATTGATTTATTGTATATATATTTAAAAACATTCTTATATGCATCGAATGAATTATTTAGTTCATTAAAGTCTCTTTGATATTGAAAGACTTATCTCCTAAAGCGAAATCAAACCTTTGTAAAACAAAACGTTAAATTGTTAGAACAAATGAGGTATTTAATTTCTGTGGCCACTAAACAAATAATATTGATTCTATTTTATTTCGAGGACGACCAGTTATTAACTGTTTTGCTGCTGGTGTCCTCAATATTCCCTGTTTAAGAACATTTTATTTATTAAGTTCTGACCTAAAAACTCTCGGTTTCAAAGAACTTCTCGGTATAGCAGGAAACTAGTCAACTATAATTGCCTGATTCATCGACGATCATTATTTATTGTGCTTTAAAATTTTGTGAAGAAACTTTAAAAAAAAAGTACCTTTGTAAGCACTTATTAAGTATTGGTGGTTTGTTCTTAATTTATTGTTTACTTTTGTTAGTATATATAATAATCCACAGTTTTAATGTATATGAATAATAATTTTGAGACCTATTTTTCTACGTAGTTGAGAAATTTTTCATCAGTAGGGTACTTGGTACTTTCCATTATTTGGGTAGGGCTTGTTAAACTTAGATGTAGTGATAGATGTTATATCTTGAATAATATAAAATAGCATATACTAAAATACTGTAGCATAATGTTTTTTAAAGATTAAGAATCATTATAAAATCATAAATTTTTTTTTTTTTTTTGAGGGGAGGTTGAATTACTGTCGTTTACAAACAAACATTAAATTAAATATTGAATTACTATATAAAATAATGTATATTGAGATTTTATTTAAATAATGAAGGAAATAATGAATTTCTGAGTGATTTAAAACAATTTCCGTAATGTTTTCATATTTGTATTGTACTATTACATTTTCATTTGAAATTCGTCTTATTTACTGTATTGGCCTTGATGTAAGGTGGAGTAATTTTTTTAGCATGATTTTTTAAAAACTATTTTCATTTTATATGAGCAACCTAACACTTGAAAATGCGTATAAATCATTTAACATATGTTCTATAACTTTAAAATTAAAGGAAAGCAAGTTCTCATAAATTAATTAGCACTGAGAATGATCACTTTGTTTGGAAACCCATTTATATGTGAATAGTTTATTTTCCCAATTATTTCTATTAAAAGAACTAAATTGAGAATCTAAACTTCAAGATATAGTTTCTAGTAATTTCTGTCCACGATTAGAATTTACATAAAAATATATGTATTTTATCCATATACATATAAATATTATCCATATACAAAGAAAAATTAATAAATAAAAGAGAGTAATAGGTTGTCATTATTTATTCTCAAATTTTATCCCACTTAAAATTTTTGCAGTTTTTTATTTAATTTAAATGCAAGTTATTATGTGATTAATTCAGGTTACTTACATATTTATGCAACTGCCTTAGTAGAAGTCGTCAAATTTCCTGAAAGTGCCAAAGTCCGGCAACTATGAACATAAACCGTTGTCCAGCAACCATGTTCTTTACAGTCCTTCATTCAAACAATGCTGGTATTTTCATATGAATTCTATTTTGTTGTATTCCAAGTAGCAGTGCATTTTATGAAGAAATCTTGGTATCTTTTGCCTTAAACTTAATTTTAAAATATGAGCACTTTGCCAGCAATAGAAGAAACCACGGTAAAATTTGTGCAGGAATACAGTGTTTTGCTGGAAATTTTCTAAAGAGAGCAATGAAAATAGCTGCTATGGCTGAGGATTGCATGAAGACGAGTCTCCGCAATTCTGATTTTTTTTTTCCCAAGAGAAAATAGTTGTACACTTAGAGGAGAGAAGTGCAAAAAAATTGTAGAAAGATTTTATTGAATGAAGAATGAGTTTTATTTTTTAATGTGCCATGTAATCCTTATTTAATAATTGAGATTTGTATTTTAATTTGCTAAAGTATATTTTCTTTTCATGTGCTGATAATGTTTCTGACTTACGATAAATATTGTTAGTTGGGGAATTTTTGTTAATCTTTGGATTATGGTAACTGTTATGAATTAGTTCACAAAAAAAGGTAAGTGGACTGTAATATATCACTTGTTTATTTTACATAACACTTTGAAATAGAAGGAATGCCGTCCATGTGACGACACAGCTCACATCACTCCACACAGTAGCAATTAATAAAACAAAAAGAATAGCATACAAATCACATAAATTATGAGTTGAAAGTTCGTTACCATAGCAACCAGAATTGAATCATCAGGCGGCAACGCCATCTAATGTTGCAAAGACACACTAGTATTCATTTGGTACGAAAAATACTAAACATAGCCCCCGGCTTGAAGCCTTCTAAGGGTTTCAAAAAGACAATAGTTAAAGCATACATAATAACATTAACAAAAAAAAATTAATTGAAAAATAACTAAAATTAAAGTTCAATAATATGAAAAAAGTCAATAGTTCATAGTTCCATATTATCATGATGGGGCTAAGACACAATTTAGTAACAGCTCGTTTGAAATCACCAGCGGTGTATGGATTGTAGCCACTCGAACTTTTTATCATACCGGATGAATTAAGGCAATTCTTCCAATTTTCCATTGGTTGGAGGCAGTTGTTTGTTTTTGATCAGAACTAAATCACCACATTTTAGATTGGATACGCACGAAACCACTTAGCACATTGTTGAAGTGTTGTTAAATATTCTGCACACCATCGTTTCCAAAAATGTTGCACGTCTGTTGAACTAGAGACCAACGTTTAAGTCGTGAAGATTCCACATCACTCAAGTCAGATTCCGGAATGGCAAGCAAAGGGGCTCCAATCAGAAAATGACCTGGAGTCAATGCACTAAAGTCGTTTGGATCACTAGACATCGCACAAAGAGGACGGGAATCATACACGCTTCCACTTGTGTAACACTGTTAAAAATTCCTCGTAAGTTAGAAGTTTGGATCCTAATACTCGTTAAGATGAAATTTCATGGATTTCACATTAGATTCCCACAAGCCACCGTAGTGAGGAGATGTCAGAGGTTTAAATAACCAAGTTATACTTTCTGAGGTAATGTAGTCACATAATTCACTGCTTTTTCAATGCGAGCTGCATTTTTATAAATCTCCTTCAGTTCCTTACTAGCACCTTTGAAGTTAGTAGACAGTCACATCGAAATTTAGATGGTTTGCCTCGTCGGGCGATAAATCTTTTTAGAGCTGCTAAAACGTTGAAGTTGATAAATCACTGACTAACTCCAAGTGTACAGCTTTTGTTGAGAAACCACAAAAATGGATATGTAACACTTGAAAGTTTTTGTTCTTCTCCCAACTTGGGACTTAAGAATATGGACCAGCATAGTCAACACCGGTGACTGCAAAGGTCTTGATGGTTGAACTCTGGGTGAGGGTAATCACCCATATCTGGGTCACAGTCTTGCCTCGATTTCTAATACAAGGAATACATCGTGAATAATCTTTCTCACTACGCTTCTCACCGCAAGAATCCAAACGTATTCGTAAAGTGCTTATTAATAACTCTTGACTAGCATGCAAATAATTGACATGGTAATGAGTTACGATGAGATTAGTGACATGTCCTTCCTTTGGAAGCAAAATAGGATGTTTGCTATTTTCAGGAATGTTTGCATTTTTAAGCGACCACCTACTCGAATGACGCCTTTCTTCATCAAGAAGGGAGTTATTTAATTGATCACTCGGCTGCTCACACCTTTTAATTGTCTCGATGTTTTTAAATAAGAGAGCTCTTGAGGAAATATGATTCTTGGACATTTTTTATCACTGTTTTGTAAATCGAAGCTCATCGTTTTCAGAAACCTCTCAAACGATTTCGGAGAAGTTTCGACAGTTGTTGTAAATCTATACAAAAAAACTACGACGTAATTTTGTCCAAAATACCGTTTAAAATGTCATTTTCCTTTTACAAGATACTGAAAAATTTTTTCTTCTCTATGAACTCCTTCATAATCTACATCAGAAAGATGTTCACTGTCAGGACATGGTTCGAAATTGTGAATATAACCAAGTGGTCCAATGAACCATTGTTCACACTTCAGAAATTCTGCTGAAACAATTCTTGTACTGAATCAGCTGGGTTCCGCTTCCATTGATATGTTCCGCCTTACATTAGGAATTTGTATTCTGTATTTTTAGCAACGCGGTTTGCAACAAAGGAACCCAACGGTATGGTTCTGCAGAAATCCAGGACAGTACAACAGTTGAATCTGTCCAGGCCAAAAACTTTACGTATAGGAAACTCTAAATGTTCTAACACTGATTTAAGCAAATTCACTAACAAAACTGCGGCGCATAACTCAATCGAGGTAATGATTGCACTTTCAGAGGAGCAACTCTGTTTTTGATGTTAAGAGTGTTACTTTGATGTCCAAATTACGTGACACTGAACGCAAATAAATTGCTGCACAGTAGCCTTTCTCGGAGGCATCACAAAAGCACAGATATCATATAGTTCACATCAGGAAACAAACAAATCTCGGTTTTTTAATTGTTGAATAAGATGTAAATCATTTCGGAAAGTCTTCCATTGTTAAGCAATCTCATAACTAACAGGTTTCATCCCACGATAATGGAGTTTCCACATCTCTTGTATCAAGA